TCCCATCCAGACACTCACATACACAGGATGTTTTGTTGGTTAGGAGAGGGTATGAAACACTTCAGCCTAGGGAAAGGGGTTTCAGTGGGTCCCCTCAAAACCTGATCTGAATCTCTAAGAGCTCAAGGGGACTTGGTTGGTGGTGTCAGAGTCACTCTTGAAAAATCTAAAAGTTAGACTTGTGGCTCTGATGGCAGAAACAATAGAGGTGGCAACTGATATTTTAGTTGGGTACAGATCGCTAGGTTGAAGTACATTTTTATGTATAGTTTTAAAGTTAACATGATCTTGTTTTCTAGCTTCCAGAGATGATATTGAGAAGTAAGGTGTCATCCTAAGTTTGCCCTTTAGTGTGTTATCTGATCCCCCACTTCAGTCTCTTAAAAACTAATATTTTTCTCTCTCTCTGGAGTCTGAAATTTCATGAGGCCATGTACTAAGAACTCAATGAGGCTTTTTGCTTTGGGAACCAATTTCCTTAAGATTTGAGGAAAATATCTGCACTGTGTTTGTATTTATTATTAAGTCTTTATTTTATTTTTAAAAAAGAGCTGTTTAAGGTTCACAGCAAAATTGAGGCAAATGTACAGAGATTTTCTATGTACACCCAGCCCCCCACATGCACAACCTCCTCCATTATTGACATTCCCCAGAATGGTACATTTATTACAGGTGATGAACCTATATCATTATCTTCTGAAGTTTAAAGCTTACTTTAAGGCTCACTCTTGGTGTTGAAATTCTGTGCGTTGGACAAATGTATAATGACATGTATCCACCATGATGGTCCCATAAAGAGTATTTTCACTGCCCTAAAAGTTCTTTGTGTTTCACCTATCAACCCCTCTCTTTCCCAACCTATGGCAACCACTGAACATTTTACTGTTTTCATAGTTTTGCCTTTGCCAGAATGTCATATATTTGGAATTGTATACTATGCAGCCTTTTCAGATTGGTTTCTTTCACTTAGTAAAATGCACTTTTTAAAATATTTTTTTCCTCTTTATTTTCTCTATTTCTTCTCTCTGGAACTGCTCTTGGTAGGATTTTAGACCTCCTGGATTGATCCCCTGTGTTTTCTCCTTTTTTAAGGAAAAATATTTGTTTGTTTATTTACTTGGCTGTGTCTGATCTTAGTTGTGTCATGTGGGATCTAGTTCCCAGACCAGGGATCCAACCTGGGCCCCCTGCATTGGAAGAACAGAGTCTTAGCCACTGGACCACCAGGGCAGTCCCAATATTTTATATTTGTAGTCTTTTTGTACTACTCTCTGAGAGAGTTTCTTAATGTTATTTTTGACCTTTATTTTGAGAGTATTTTTAAAACTTTCTATTACGTAAAAAAAAATTTTCAAGAAAACAAAATGGAAGTTATTAAAAAAAACAACTATCCTATATTCCAGAAATTTAACTTCTAGTATATAGTCAAAAAAACTGAAGCAAGGTCTTGATAAGTATTTGTGTACCCATGTTCACAGCAGCCTTATTCACTATAACCAAGAGCTGAAAGCAACCCAGGGGAGGGAAAGGGGTTTCAGTGGGTCCCCTCAAAACCTGATCTGAATCTCTAAGAGCTCAAGGGGACTTGGTTGGTGGTGTCTGAGTCACTCCTGAAAAATCTAAAAGTTAGACTTGTGGCTCTGATGGTAGAAACAATAGAGGTGGCAACTGATATTTTAGTTGGGTACAGATCGCTAGGTTGAAGTACATTTTTATGTATAATTTTAAAGTTAACAGGATCTTGTTTTCTAGCTTCCAGAGATGATATTGAGAAGTAAGGTGTCATCCTAAGTTTACCCTTTAGTGTGTTATCTGATCCCCCACTTCAGTCTCTTAAAAACTAATATTTTTTTCTCTCTCTGGAGTCTGAAATTTCATGAGGGCATGTACTAAGAACTCAATGAGGCTTTTTGCTTTGGGAACCAACTTCCTTAAGATTTGAGGAAAATATCTGCACTGTGTTTGTATTTATTATTAAGTCTTTATTTTATTTTATTTTAAAAAAAGAGCTGTTTAAGGTTCACAGCAAAATTGAGACAAATGTACAGAGATTTCCTATGTACACCCAGCCCCTCACATGCACAACCTCCTCCATTATTGACATTCCCCAGAATGGTACATTTGTTACAGGTGATGAACCTATATCATTATCTTCTGAAGTTTAAAGCTTACTTTAAGGCTCACTCTTGGTGTTGAAATTCTGTGCGTTGGACAAATGTATAATGACATGTATCCACCACGATGGCCCCATAAAGAGTGTTTTCACTGCCCTAAAAGTTCTTTGTGTTTCACCTGTCAACCCCTCTCTTTCCCAACCCATGGCAACCACTGAACATTTTACTGTTTTCATAGTTTTGCCTTTGCCAGAATGTCATATATTTGGAATTGTATACTATGCAGCCTTTTCAGATTGGTTTCTTTCACTTAGTAAAATGCACTTTTTAAAATATTTTTTTCCTCTTTATTTTCTCTATTTCTTCTCTCTGGAACTGCTCTTGGTAGCATTTTAGACCTCCTGGATTGATCCCCTGTGTTTTCTCCTTTTTTAAGTAAAAATATTTGTTTGTTTATTTACTTGTCTGTGCCTGATCTTAGTTGTGTCATGTGGGATCTAGTTCCCAGACCAGGGATCCAACCTGGGCCCCCTGCATTGGAATAACAGAGTCTTAGCCACTGGACCACCAGGGCAGTCCCAATATTTTATATTTGTAGTCTTTTTGTACTACTCTGAGAGATTTTCTTAATGTTGTTTTTGACCTTTATTTTGAGAGTATTTTTAAAACTTTCTATTACATAAAAAAAAATTTTCAAGAAAACAAAATGGAAGTTATTAAAAAAAACAACTATCCTATATTCCAGAAATTTAACTTCTAGTATATAGTCAAAAAAACTGAAGCAAGGTCTTGATAAGTATTTGTGTACCCATGTTCACAGCAGCCTTATTCACTATAACCAAGAGCTGAAAGCAACCCAGGGGTTCCTTGATGGATAAATGAATAAGCAAGTGGTAGTGTAGGCATACAATGGAATATTACTCAGCCTTAAAAAGGAAGAAAATTCTGACCCCTGCCACAACATGGTTGAGCCTTGAGAACATTATACTAAGTGAAAGTAACCAGTTGCAAAAAGGCAAATACTGTATGATTCCACTTCTAGGAGGGAACCAAAGTAGTCAAATTCATAGAGACAGAAAGTAGAATGGTAGTGGCCAGGGACCAGGGACAGAATGGAGAGTTATTGTTTAATGGGAACAGTAAATAATGCTGCAGATACTTCAGTTTTGCCAAACCAAAAAAGTTCTAGAGATGGATGGATGGTGGTAGTAGTTGTCCAACAGTTTGACTTGGTGCCCCTGAACAGGACACTTGGAAATGGTTAAGGTGGTAAATTTTGTGTTATGTGTTTCCACAGAAACATTTTCTGAGAATTCTTCTGTTCTCTGATGGTTTCACAAAGTGTCTTCTGCTTGTGTCATGAGTTAAAAATCTTATCTTTCTCAGGAATGTTCTTCTCCTGTTGAAGTATTTGTGTGTGTGTGTGTGTGTGTGTGTGTGTGTGTGTTTAAATACATTTTTCTGTTTCTAATAGTATCTCTATAACTCAGGGTTTCTTTATTCCTAGTTTGTTTGTTTTGGTATTTGTCTTTGATGTTGAGACTGTTTCTCAAACGCCAGGCAATACTCAGCTTTCTCTTCATATCTGACGGATGCAATGAAGAGCTGAGTGGAGGTCATCTGTGTGGGGAGGGACTCTGTGATGGGCAGTTTCACTGTAGAATCAGGGGATACTGGGGCAGCCTTTTTAACTGGGAATCTCAAAACATCCATCTCTGGAGGTCTTAATTCTGGGGCTCTTTCTTCAGAATCTCAAGAGCAAAGTTTAACTGCCTTCCAGGGCTTTGAGAATGAGTAGGAGAAGTGTGCACCAATTCCACCACTTTGTCAATAGTCTTTTGACTGGTTCCACATTTTTCAGCCCCATTTCTCCATTTCCCGCTTGGTTCCTTCCCAGCTTAGTCCCCTCAGTTGAGAATCCCTTTGGTTCAGTTTCTTTAGAGAACAAATTTCCCACCTCAGGTCTAGGAGGCCAGCACGGGGGGAAAATGAAGGTGCGGTTGTCTTGTGTACACTTGCAAGCATTCCTCCTCTTTCAGCCTTGAGACCTGCTCATGCTTCCTGTGTCCTAGGTGTCCCCTTTCCTGGGCCTTTCCACAGTTCCGTGGGAGGGGGACTGGCTTACTTCTCTCTTTTTCCCTCTGCGATTTCTTTAGTTCTACTAGTCACTTACCACCTCTCCATCTGCATGGCAATCTACCTGGCCTCCTGCACTGTCATTCTTACCCTGTGGTCTTACAATAAAAAATTCCCTCTACTGCCATTTTTATAGAGTTTGGGGAGGAAGAAGAGAAAAACAAGGCAAGTTTCGTCTGTTTAATTAGGAATCACAATTGTTGACTTAAAAAAAAGGTCCACACTATGAGAGAAACGTCATGCTTGCTTCTGACTCATCAACGTGGTTTCATCACGCCCCATTTCATGGAAACTGGGCACCTTCATTCAAATTCTGGGTCAAACTTGCAGAATAAGCCACTCAATTCAGTGACCAACAGATCATGTGGCGTCTGCAATGACAGATCCTGTTGAGTCAGGGGTCTGCCCTGAAGAAGTTTTGTCCTGCTTAATTAGCTTTCCTTCTCTTTATCCTCTCCGAAACTTCTGTATGTAGTAAAATGTTTTCTAGGGTATGGTTGGCTATATATACATGAATTTCTTGCTTACCTTGTTAATATGTCAGCATCATTGGAGGCAATATTTTGTGGCAGAAACCATTAATTTGCTAGCCAGCATCTGCCCTCTACATTTTTATGAACAGAACTCCAATTTTGTTTAGGGCAGTAGCTCCATCTCCCAGTCATCTTCTTAGGTAAGAAAGTTCTGATCAATGAGATAGCTGACGTCACCCCGCCTATAAAGGGGCTCGGGAGCCGCGAGCCGGCTTTGTAAAGCCGCTGTTGAGGGTGCGCGCACGGCCGCGGCAGCCGCCGAACAAAGGAGCAGGGCACAGCCGCCGGGACCCGCCACCGACCGCCCGGGCCGCGCCGGCCCGCCGCCAGCCGCCACCATGACCGCCAACGGCACGGCCGAGGCCCTGCAGATCCAGTTCGGGCTCATCAATTGCAACAACAAGTACCTGACGGCCGAGACGTTCGGGTTCAAGGTGAACGCCTCGGCCAGCAGCCTGAAGAAGAAGCAGATCTGGACGCTGGAGCAGCCGCCCGATGAGGCGGGCAGCGCCGCCGTGTGCCTCCGCAGCCACCTGGGTCGCTACCTGGCGGCCGACAAGGACGGCAACGTGACCTGCGAGCACGAGGCGCCCGGCGCCGACTGCCGCTTTCTCATCGTGGCGCACGACGACGGTCGCTGGTCGCTGCAGTCCGAGGCGCACCGGCGCTACTTCGGCGGCACCGAGGACCGCCTGTCGTGCTTCGCTCAGACCGTGTCGCCGGCCGAGAAGTGGAGCGTGCACATCGCTATGCACCCGCAGGTCAACATCTACAGCCTGGCCCGCAAGCGCTACGCACACCTGGGCGCGCGGCCGGCCGACGAGATCTCGGTGGACCGCGACGTGCCCTGGGGCGTCGACTCGCTCATCACGCTGGCCTTCCAAGACCAGCGCTACAGCTTGCAGACGGCCGACCACCGCTTCCTGCGCCACGACGGACGCCTGGTAGCGCACCCTGAGCCCGCCACCGGCTACACGCTGGAGTTCCGCTCCGGCAAGGTGGCCTTCCGCGACTGCGAGGGCCGCTACCTGGCGCCGTCGGGGCCCAGCGGCACGCTCAAGGCGGGCAAGGCCACCAAGGTGGGCAAGGACGAGCTCTTCGCCCTGGAGCAGAGCTGCGCCCAGGTCGTGCTGCAGGCGGCCAACGAGAGGAATGTGTCCACGCGCCAGGGTGAGTGGGGACGCCGTCCCTCGCCTCTTTCCGGCCTTGCACAAAGCGCACCCCACCCCACCCCCGTCCCCACGCCTCCCGCCCTTCCTCGCCCGCGGCAATCCCGAGCGACGCCCGGTGCGCCCCCGCTGGGCGCTCAGACCACCCCACCCGGCCGCGGAGCGTGCGCTCCGACCTCGAGGAAGGGGCGAGGGGTGGGGCTTTTCCCATCCTTGGGGGCCGTGGCGCGGCCCCCACTCCGCCTTGGGCTAGGGGCTCCCTAGGCCGCGCTTAGGCCCCGCCCCGGGTGCCACCCTCGCACCCCCTGCCCAATCTGGGTCTTCCCGACTCGTGCGGATCCCTGGGCTCCGTGGGCCCAGCCCTGGGGGAGGGACGCCCCTCGCCCGGTGCCTCGTGCCCTTCCCCCCGTTAGTGGGTCTTCAGTTCCAGGGCGGAGCGAGGGGTCGCCTCCGGCGCGGGGCGCGTTCGCGCTCCCTAAGGGCCGCCTTTCGCGGGCGGGATGGGGAGTCCTTTGGTCTCCGCGGGGTGCGCGTCCACGTCCCCCGGGTCTGGGCCTCTCTGCACCCCCTCTGGCTGCTGGGAGGGGTTGGCCTCTGCTGGAGGGGGGCGCCCGGAGTGTCTGCCCTTCCCCCCCCAGCCCCTCCTCCCGCGTCCGCCCCGCGCTCGAGGCCGCGGCCTTTGTGAGCAGGGGGCGGGCTCCTCGACAGGGCCCTCCCTCGCCCCCTTTGTCCTGCTCGGTCTCTGCGGATGGGAAAACCAGATGAGGCTGGGCGGGGAGGGAGTCGGCTTTCTGCGGGTCCCCCCTTCTGGGAACCCCCCCGCGCCGCACCCCAACCCCGGGCCGGGTGTTCCGTCCGAAGCCGCCCCACGGCCTCCCTGCTCGCGCCCAGGTCCAGGGCGGCGTGGCGGGGATGGCGGCCCGCCAGGCACCCCGCCCTGCGGCTCGCGGCCGGTGCGCTCTGCTCCGTGGGTGCCCGAGAGCGGTCCCAGCGTGAGCCGGGAGACTCCAGCCAGGCACCCTCGGAAAGTGCCCCCCACCCCCACCCCCCGCTCCGCCCCAGCGAAGCCTCTGAATGTCTTGTTCTAGGAGAAGACAAAACCTTTGTATATATTTGTTTATTTATTGTAGTAAACTCAATAAAGACTTTTTTTTAAAGGTTACTAAGATCTACAGTAACTTTTATTATGCTGCATTAGTATTATTATCTTTTCCATTTATTTTTATTAGTCAGAGGCTAACTACTTTACAATATTGTAGTGGTTTTTGCCATACTTAAATCGCTACTCAGTCATATTTCCAGTTACTTGCAACTGCATGCAGCCCACATTGACACAGATTCCCTCCCTATCTTTAAATGTCTTTTGCTGTGAGTCTCAGTGCTCAGTTATACGTTTGGAGGAGAGTAAGGTCTATGTTGACCAGATGCTGCTGGTGCCCTGAAAATCGCTTCTCTGTGCTCACCATTTTGCAGCACCTGTGACTCTGCCTGAGGCTGCAGCCACTAGGGCCTGCGCTGTTTACATACGGGACAGGCTAGAAGGATGTTCCAGGGAATTAGTGTTCCTCTCCTCTTCACATCCAAGAGCAGCCTTCACCCAATGCCTGAAGGGGTCGGTGTATCAATACCCCGGCTCCGGGGCTTTCCTGGTGGCTCAGCAGTAAAGAATCCACCTGCCAATGCAGGAGACATGGATTCGATCCCTGATCCAGGACGATCCTACCTGCCGAAGAGCAGCTAAGCTCGTGTACCACAGCTATTGAGCCTGTGCTCTAGAGCCCGTGTTCCACAATGAGAATCTACAATGATGAGAAGCCTGCACACCACATCTAGAAAGGAGCCCCTGCTCGCCCTAACTAGAGAGAAAGCCTGTGCAGCAACGAAGAGCCAGAACAGCCAAAAACAAACGAATAAATGAAAAATTAAAATACACTAGCTCCCTTGCTTCTCTGGCAGATAACTGTGAGGCAGGTTCTACATTGACTGCCAGGGCTCCCCTGGGATCCTGGGGGGCAAGATCAAGCTACACTTGCCTGCAGTAGCCACTGACTTGGTAGCACATAATTTAGCAGCTTCCTTCCATTTTCTGTCTCATGCACCCACTCTCCTACCAGAATTATCTGGGGTCATCTTCCAAAGAAACTACACACACTAGAATTTCAGTTTCAGGATCTTCTCCTGGGGGAACCCAAACCAAGATAATGGAATTTTTACCCAGCGTTGCTTTGAGGTCATGGGAGCTAACTGGGGCCCAGAAGTTTTTGTATGCCCTTTGCGTGTACCCAGCTAGTCTATGCTGTGAAATTCAGGCAATGGTTCCTGCTAATGCAGCACTATGGGGCCTCTGGCTGGCAATCTTTTTCGTGATTCTTTCCCTCCTCCACACTCTCTGTGATCTCACTGCCCCGTGTTGCCCCGAGAAAGACGCATCAGTGTGAAGCCTGGGTTGGTGGACATTCTGAGCAAGTTGTTGTGGGCAACCAAGAGGACTGGCATGAAATGCCAACGTTAGCAGAGGATGTCAACCCTAGCTCTGTGTTCACAGGTGAACAAAAATGCTCGCGATTTCCGGTGAGCTAGGCGTGATTCATCCTAGGCGGCCAGCTTCTTCCTTCTCTGGTTCTCCTACTCACTGAGGCTCATCCCAGGAGAGAATGTGTGCTCCAAGTAACCTGGGTGGTGACCCGAGTTTGCAGTATTCAGAATAAGGAGCCTATTTGAGGAACATGACTAGATCTCAGGCCCTTCTTTTTTTTCCCCCAAAAAGCTCTGATTTAAAGTATTCTGCCTCAGATGGGAGGGAAGCTCAAGAGGGAGGAGACGTATCACATTTGTAGTGGATTCCTGATGTGGTACAGCAGCAACTAACCCATCATTGGGATGTAATTACCCTCAACATAAAGCATTCTGCTCCCCTGACCGAGATGGATGGGCCCAGAGATCAGTGAGACCCAAAGTGTAGGCATCAGACGCAATCAAACCCACAGCTGGTCTAGAATATTCCACACCGTATGAAGACAAGCTTGTTCCCTTAGACCAAGTCTCAGCAAACTACTGCCCATAAGCCAAATTGGGCTCAGTGCCTATTTTTATAAATAAAGTTTCGCTGGCCACAGCCACACCCGTTTGCTTACATGATGGTATGGCTTCAGTACTGCGTGGATCTGGGGGACTAGTTGTGACAAAGGCGATGTGGACTGCAAAGCTTATATATTCACTGTCTGGACCTTGCAGAAAAAGTGTGCCGACCCCTGCACTAGGCAACCTCCAGTCTCCCACTCGAAACTGCCCCATCAAGGGGCACACCTGCCATACCTCCTTCTACTTATTTTAATTTTAATTAACTTCTTTTTTTTTTCTTTTAATTTTTTTAAACACCAAATACATTTTGTATTGGGGTTAACAATGTTGTGATAGTTTCAGGTGAGCAGTGAAGGGACTCAGCCTTACATACACATGGATCCATTCTCCCCTAAAACCCTCCCTCCCATCCAGGCTGGCAGACAGCATTGAGCAGAGTTCCCTGTTTTACACAGTAGGTCTTTGTTGGTCATCCGTTTTACATAGAGCAGTGTGTACACGACCCTCCCAAAGTCCTTAACCATCCCTCCCCGCCGCCCCCCACTGCCCCTCAACCATGAGTTCGTTTTCTAAGCGTGTGAATCTCTTTGTGTTTTGTAAGTTCACTCATGCCATTTCTTTCTGGATCCCAGATGTAAGGGATGTCATATGATATCCGCTATTCGGCTGTGCTCGGTCTTCCTCGTGGCGCAAGGGCTTTTTGTTCCTGCGTATGAGCGTCTTCAGTTGCACGGGCTTAGTTGCCCCAAAGCACATGGGATCTTAGTTCCCCGACCAGGGATCAAACCAGCATCCTCCGTATAGTAGGGCAGAGTCTTAACCACTGGGCTGCCAGGGGGGTCCCAGGCAACACCTCCTTCTGCCTTAACCTCACTCTCCCCATCCCCATCACACCTCAGTTCCAGGAATAGTGCTTCTGAAACTTTAGTGTTTAATGGCAATCAGTTGTTGGAAACACATGCTCTGATTCAGTAATTCTAGGATCTTACTAGACTGTGTTTCTAACCAGTTCTGGGGGTACACCACTGTGGCTGCTCTGAGAACTAACCTTTGAGGAGCAAGATTCAAGAAGTCTGGGTTTGTCTCAGCAGAACCAGCAACTTTATCACTCTTTCTCATGGGTTGGCATTGCCAGGCAATACTAGCCCCTCTCTGACCCTATCCCTTCACACACACACACACACACCCTTAATACAGGAATATGGCAGCGCTGTCTCCCCTTTCCCTTGAGCTCTGGTTTTCAGTCCGAGCAGCCGTTTCAAGAGTTAAAGAGTTGTGAGGATGACAGCAGGAGCGACGCCAGAGCTCTAACAAGCCTCTCTTTTTATATTTAGTTTGCTATTAGATAATGCTCGACACCTGTTCTCTAGACAGCTCTGTTTTAATCTCTTCGATCTCACTTTCTTGGCCACGTGGCTGCACAGACATGTTGCCCCGCATGAGTAATGCAACGAGAGCCAAACAAAATAGCTGTTTCTTTGGAGCTAGAAGCACGACCAGGGACTAAAAACAGCCGGGGCTGGGTTTGGGCCCATGGTGAGGTGCCTGTGGAGAAAACAGCTCTGCGCCTGGGGTTGGGCCCCCATCACTTGGCTCTGGGTGGCTTTCCTTTCCAGACTCGAAGCTCCAGGGAGTCTGGCACGCATGTCCCACCCTCAGGATGAAAAGGGAAAAGATGACAAGGAAATTCTCTTCTGCTGTGCTTCAATCAGAGAGCAGAAAAACAAGTTTTCCAGAAGTCATCTGAATATTTCTAATTTTGATCGGATTATTTCATTTGTGTGAAGTTGCCCAAAACATGCAGTTTCAGCCTTAGGAATCCTGAGATCTTTTCCTAGAAGCTACCAGAGAAACAGAAATAGTGAATCCATTGAAAAATCTTTCTCCTGGGATCCCTAGGCTTTATTATCTGTTTGGCTGTGGCTGGAGCTGGCTGACAGATATGTAGATTTAAGTCATGCTACATCTGTAGGTGGGCTGTTGTTCAGTCATTCAGTCAGTTCCGGCTCTTTGTGACCCCATGAACCGCAGCACACCAGGCTTCCTGTCCATCACCAACTCCCAGAGCCTGCTCAGACTCATGTCCATTGAGTTGGTGATGCCATCCAACCATCTCATCCTCTGTCACCCCCTTCTCCTCCTGCCCCCAATCTTTCCCAGCATCAGGGTCTTTTCAAATGAGTCACTTCTTCCGATCAGGTGGCCAGAATATTGGAGCTTCAGCTTCAGCATCAGTCTCTCCAGTGAATATTCAGGACTGATTTCCTTTAGGGTTGACTCATTCAATCTCCTTGCAGTCCAAGGGACGGCAGCACCTGGAGATGGGCAGCCCACACCTAAATGTCAGCTGTTCAGGAGTGGGGGCTAGCAGGGAGCAAAAGCTCAGAGATCTAGCTATGGGGGCAGATTTGACAGTGTGACATAAGGAAGCACCACAGGCTCACATCGTTTTTGAAATAATGAGGACTGATATTGTGAAGAGTGTGCTTCTTTCTGAACACTATCCCGAGCCCAAACTTCTCCAAAGTCTAACATGAATAGAAGCTAGTCCTGGGTGTTAACAGAAAACTGTAGTGAGTCATTTTTTTTAAAAGACTGTCATTTAGCATATATCCTTAAATTAGGACTTTCCTGTTCTAATGTTCCTGAAACATGTGGCAACTTATTTTTCACTCACAAAATGAAAATGCAGTCTTGGGTGACTGAGTCAGAGTTTACAATATTAGATTTTACTTTTTATTATAGTTGATTTACAATGTTGTGTTAGTTTCTGGCATACAGCAAAATAACTCAGTTGTGCACCCACACACATATGTTTATATATATATGTGTGTGTGTATATGTATTCCTTTTTATATTCTTTTCCATTATAGTTTGTTACAGGATATTGAATATAGTTCCTGTATTATACAGTAAAACATTGTTGTTTTTCTATTTTATATATAGTATAGTATAGTTTGTATCTGTTAACGTCAGACTTTATCAACGGTTGATTTTATTTTAATTT